TTTTTTTTTTTTTTTGGAAATCATTTCATTCTCGACTAAAAAAATTACACCCTCCTACGAGACGTAGCCGGAGATGGTGTTCTGTATCTCATCGACATGGCCCTTGATGCAGAAAAATAGCGCCCGCGGCGGGGGAGGGGAGTGTTGGGGGGGCTTCTTAGCAAAACGCATGGATTGGAAAAGAGTGTTTAACTCGCCCGCGAATTCCTGCAGAGTAGGAACATTTCGAGATTGGGGTGGGGGAAGCAAAACCTGGAGGTGGGTAATTTCCAAATCCACCACACCCAGCTGCTAGCTTCGTGCGAATAGGAAGTAAGGTATACCTGAGCTCCCTGGCAGCAAGCGGCAAAAGTTCTTAACTATTGTCCTCTTAGAATGTACTTAGCTATTTTACTTTTACAACTTACTTATTTATGTTTGGTTTTAGCTGTCCTGTAAAAAGTCAGTACCATTTCTCGTAACCTAGGTTTGCCCGAATATGTGGGGGGGAAAATCTGAAGGCTTGACAACATAGGCTCTTCCACTAGAGACTGGGCAGCGGTCGTCTGTTATCTAGGACATGTGACCCCAAATTTGTTCCACTTTTTCATGCTGTTTTATTTCCTGATCTTTTTGTGGCCGTGGATTTTTTTTATTTTTTTTATTTTTGGCGGATGATGCATGTGTCCTAGGCAGTCCTCGGCCCTTAGCCACACCACCAACTCCAGTCATGGATGGTACCTGATGGCCTTGCTGGGCATTCACGGTTACTGGGCGTTCGACTTAGTGACCCTTCTGCTGTAAGCGATTGAGTGGGAGTTAGGGGTCACTCTCAGTCTTCTTACCGGAGTGTTCTCAGTTTCGGTAGCTGGGAGGAGCCTGAGGTAAGAAAGTGCCAGAATGAACATGCTTTCAGAGTGTATGATTCTTCCCACTTGGAGACCTCCCTTCAGATGTCCTGGTTCCTTGCTTGAGTCATGGTCTCCCTAGGTAGTTCTCTCGATGGCCTCAGATTTGCCATCCCTCGACCCCAGCTTCCGTGGCGCTGAGGCTCTAGGCCTGAGCCGTCAGCCCTGACTTTCTGCTCAGTAAATTTTAGGCCCTGCCCCCCAGGTCTGCTTTCCCTGTGTGCTAAGTGCCCAGGGGCTTGCTGGGTATTCACGTAACTCTCTTTTTTCAAGCGTAGAGGTGGGACAGGTGTCACTGATGCTTCAGCTTGTCACCTGGATGTGTGCTCCCGGCCATGCTTGGAGAGAGTTACTGGGAAGAGATTCCTGTCTGGGTATTACTCAAGCTGGCTAAATAAGGATAGCATCAAGACTGGTGGTCGTCATGGGGCTGGAGATGTAGCCTGGTAGTGGAACCCTGGAGCTGCATGAGGAGACACGTGTGGAGCCTGATGTGGCACGTATTGGATCCGTGTGTATTTCAGGTCTACCCTCTCCTTGTCCATGACAGACATCACCAATTGATAACCGTTCTCTGAGGCTGATCTGCTTCAGCTGCATCCCTGACTAGATGACCTAAGGCCATATCCGTCTTCAGTAGTTAGAAGCAGGGATGCTAGCAGAGCCATGAGGAGATGGACCAGGTCACTGCCTTCTTTGGAGACAGGATTAGCCCAGTTTTCAAGGTTAAAGTTGCAGGAAGGTTATTCCAGGCCAGGGGCTTAGGACGGGGCAGCTGTGTTAGTCTGAAGGATGCTCTGTGCAGCTGGAACTCTGCAGTTCGTCTTTTCCTTGGTGGAGGTTCCCATGTGAGAACAAGGTAATCATTTGAAAATGATCCTTCCTCAGCTCCCCACCCCCCATCCATCCTTCGTCCCATCATCCTTTTGGAGTCAGGGTCTGTCTTCTTAGCTCAGGCCGGCTTTGAACTTGATCATCCTGCCTCAGCTTTCCAGATTGCAGCTGTGTGGCACCAGGGTCAGCTGTGGCAGACTTTTAAGTTATCACTCTGAAGTGTTTCGTGCTGTTTGAGAGTGGCTGGCACTAGTGGGTTCTCTACCTTATAGATACTGGCTTACAATGCCCCCTTCCCCCCAGCCCTTTGTAGTTTTTGGCTTTGAAAGCCTTTTGAAAGTAGTGTGACTAGGATGGGCAGAGACTTGGGACTTCTTGTGACGCTGCCCAACTTCCGTCTTTTGAAAGGAGCCTTTTCTTAACACTCCATGGCAAGGTTGCCAAGAGAGAGGCAGGTGGCAGTTGTTTTGTGCTTATAACAATTTTATTGAGATATAATCTACGTACCATAAAAATCTACCCTTGGTCTGGGGATGTAGTTCAGTTGGTAGAAGGCTTGTCCTAAGTCCCAGAACCCCATAAAAAACAGGTGTGGTGGTTGTGCACACCCATCATCTTGGGACTGGGGGAGTAGATGCAAAAGAATCCAAATTTTTATGGTTCTCTTCACCTATGCAGTGAGTTCAAGGCCACCTTTGGCTGCTTCAGATCCTGCCATGATGAACTCTAAGACAAAACAAATAAAAGCCACTCTGTCGGGCCAGTGACATGGCTCAGTGGGCAGAGGAGTTTGCTGTAATCTTGGAGGGCATGGGTTCCATCCCTGGACACCCTCCTCCATCCTCCCAATGGTGGAAAGGGAGACCTGACTCCTGAAAGCTGTAATCTGACCTCCATTTGTGTACAATGCTACGGTGTATAGCATCTACCCCTGTTAATAACCTCCAGGACATTCTTATCAGCCCACCAGTTTGTGCCCAAATCCCTGTCCCCGTGGCCTCTCTAGAATTGGGTGTTGATTGTGGAAAGTTCTGGAATATTTCTCTTCTCAGGAAAAACAGTGTGTTTGTTTCTTGTTACCTACTAACCAACCCCTGGTCAGCTGTCATTTGCCCATCGGTCTTGAGCAGGGGTTGGAAACGCCCTCTGCCCCTGAGTCGGGGAATCATTTTGTAGCCTGTCCCCCAAGACCTGACCTCCTGCCTCTTCCCTAAGGGTTGGGATTCCACATGGCTGTCACCATAGCTGGCTTTGGTCTGGGCGTTTGACATGGCTCTCTCCCTCTGCCTTGGACTCTGGCTCCTTCTGAACCCGTCCTGTGCTTTCTTGTCTGTCGGGTCCAACTTTCAAGACTTGCCTGGCATATACCCAGGCAAGCTTGGGAGCCCTTCTTGTCTCTCTGTCCTCACCTCTATCCTCCCTCCGTACCTGTTTTGTGCCTGTTTTCCCACTAGACTACAAACTGGACGGTTCTCTCACTGGTCACCAGCAGATCCCCAGAACCCAGCAGAGGACTTGCCTCCTGGTGTCTGCATAGTATGTTGTCAACCCATTCCTTCCTAGAGTGCTTCCAAATGATTAATCCCCGGGGGAAGGACACCAAGATCTGTTTTTTTGTTTATTTGTTTGTTTGTTTTTTAAGACAGGGTTTCTCTGTGTAGCTCTGGCTGTCCTGGAACTCACTCTGTAGACCAGGCTGGCCTCGAACTCAACACCAAGATCTGATCCACCACCCCCACCTATCTGGTTGTCTAGGCAACAAGACTGCTGAGTAATACTGTGGCCTGACAGATGGGCCACCTGGAGAGAGAGGGTTATTGCCCGACACTTTTGGGGTGATTGGATAGGCGGCTCTGCTGATCTTGCCTGATCTAGAGCACTTGCATCTGGGACCTCTGAGAATCCTGGCTCTGCCCCGCGCAGGGTTCATTCTTGCTCTGCAATTGGAGCTGCTCCTGTCCTTCCTTGTGGACAGCAGAGGATGAAAGGGAGCCATTGGATGACGTGGCGCTTCCGCCTTGTATGTGGGGGTAGGTGGGGGAACCATTTCTGTTGCTGTGATTGACAAAATCAACCTAAAAAACTAGAGAGTTTGTTTTGGTGTACAGTTCCCAAGGGGTGTTGTATGATAGAGAAGGCTAGTCTCAGGAGTCTGAGGCTATTCCCTCTCAGTGTATCCATCCGGAAGTAGAGAGAGAACCGGAAATATATCCAGTGACTCACTTCCTCCAGCAAAGCCCCACCTCCTAACCTTCCCAAACAGTGCCACCAGTGGGGCTGGGAGGGGGAGGTAGGGTGTGTGTTTCGGGGACCTATGGGGAACGTTTAACATTCAAAGCATACCACTACTATTTAAGATGTCTGGTAACATAGCTGGGGATTTAGCTCACTGTTAGAGCACTTGGAGGCTCTGGGGTCAATGCCCAGCAGTATATAAACTGGGCGGGGTAGCACAGACTCTGATTCCAGCGTTTGGGCAAGGGAGACGAAAGTTCAGCCTGGGTTACTTGAGACTCATGTGTGCACCCACGAACGCACACACGCACACTGTACGTACTATTAGAAAATAAGGTCTTATTGTTCGCAAGGGGTTGTTGCCCATCAACAAAAAGAATGAGTTGACAGCCCAGCCTTTCCTTTCCAGACTTAGAGACTGTGGCTATTGGTGAAGTCCATGAGAACATTACTCTGCGCTGTGGCAGCATATCAGGATCCAGGGGCCTGGTGACCTGGTACCGGAATGACTCAGAGCCTGCCTTCCTGGTCTCCTCCAATTCCAGCCTCCCTCCGGCTGCACCCCGTTTCTCTCTCGAGGATGCAGGTGCCCTGCGCATTGAGGCTCTGAGACTGGAGGATGATGGGAACTACACCTGCCAGGAGGTTCTGAACGAGACCCACTGGTTCCCTGTGAGGCTTCAGGTGGCCAGTAAGTGGGACTGGTGGGGATGGGCTTGGGGGTGGGCAGTGAGAGCCTGTGGAAGAGGTCACTGTCAGGAGTGTGGGCTTTAGTGACAGATGACTTCAGTCTGGACAAGTTGGAGGCCAGCCTGGGATACATAGGCCCTGTCTCAAAAAAAGCGGGGGAACTATAGCCAAGGTTGTCCTCTGTCTTCAACACGTGTGTACACACACATGCTCGCAAACCTGCTGACAAACACACAAGTGTCCCTGAAATCCAACAAGACCTTATACTTCCTAAATACATCTGATGCTTTCTGAACGGTGAGAAGTCCTTCACTGGGAAATGTAGGCCAGTGGTTGCTGCAGTTTCTCGGTGAAAACCAGAGGCAGGTGCCCCTTTGCTCATGTGCAGCAGAGTCTCCCGGGATCTTACCTCCTCTTCCCTCCCAGACAGTCCTGAGCCATAGACACCCCTGCCCCCACTGCTTGGTGGTCATCGAGGACAACCGTGGCTCTGATGGAGACTCGGCCTCAATTTTTGCTCACAGAGTGTGAGGGTGTTGTGAACTGATAGGACTACATCCTGGGAGGGCCTGGTGCCGCCTGTGGCCAATAGTAAGTCCTCTGAGGGCTACACACTGGCTCTGGTCTAGGCCCTGCTGGCTGTTGTTTTCTCAGCGTTCAGTTTTATCATCTGAAGTTCAAGGTCACCATGGAATTTTGCTACATCCCGTGCGCTGATAAGGGAAACTGGTACAGTGGACATGACCTTGGTCTTTTGAGTGAGGTCCGCTGCTTAAGCAGGTGACTCGATTCCCATGGGAAAAATGCATCCCAAGGTCCTAGCAGTCACGGTGCATCCTGGTCTTTTCCTCCTCCCTTCCTCTCTGGTTTATCGTCTTTTTTTTTTTTTTTTGGAGGTGGAAGGTCACGGTAGAGATAGGGAGGGTCTGTATGTAGATCAGACTGGCCTTGTATCCACAGAGATCTGCCTGCCTCTCTCTCCTGGGTGCTGGAATTAAAGGCGCAGGCTTCTTGCCCAGCCAGCTCGTTCTTTTATGAGACAAAGTCTTGCTATGGAATCCCTGCTGGCTGTCATTTAGGAGTAGGGTGTTTACTTAGCTAGAGCAAGGCTTTTGATCTTTCAACCAAAAAAAGGGGGGTGGGGAGGAAAGAAAAGAAAAATGAACATAGTTTGGGATGCTATCCCAGCACTCTAGGGGGAGAGGTGGGACAGCCATGAATTCAAGGTCATCCTTGGCTACAAAGCAAATTTGAGGCCAGCCTGTGCTACTCGAGATACCCATTTCTGAAAACCATAAAGCAAAGGGCAATGACAACAAAGTCCCTCACAGCAATCCTCCTGCCTCCCCAGGACTTGGGTCCCCTCTCCCAGTTTCCATCTGGATGTTTGTTGGGACTCTCGGTAAGACGCTGGCTTTTTTTTTTTTTTTATCTTTTCATGTAAATGGTAGATAACTTTGGTCACATGGCTTGCTCTCTTTAAGGAGAAAAGTTTGGGAAAGCTCCAGCGTGGCCTTGGGAACTAGGGAGGAAAAATCCCGAACTGTTTTCGGGCTATATAATTTCTTATCTGTGAGTGACCTTGGTCATCCAAGATGTGTGCCATCTGTGTCCGGGTCTGTCCACCAGGCTGGTTGGCTTCTCTTGCTTCCTGCACCTGGGGGAGTCCGGTTTCCTGTAGGCCAGGGTGGGAGGGATTTAGCCCACCTGGTGTGAACACCACAGTGATTCACACCTAACGAATATATAGTGTACTGTGTGGTGTCTGAGGGTGAGGTGGGGGCTGGGCTGTGGCTCAGTGTGTAAAGTGTTTTTCTCCAATGTATGAAGATCTGGGGTTCATCCCCAGAACCACGGTAGAACTATGTGTGGTAGTGCACACCTGTTCTCCCAACACCCAGGAAGTGGAGGGTAGAGTTAGTCATTCAAGAGCTTTCTTGGCTAGGGAGGTCATGGCCAGCTTGGGCTTACATCATGGGTGCTGGGAGTTGAAGCCTGGTCCTCTGGAAGAACAGCTACTGTTCTTAACCACTGAGCCATCTCTCCACCCTTGAGACACCCCCCTGCACCCCACCCTCTGAGTGTGTGTGTGTGTGTGTGTATGTTTGGGGTTTTTTTTGTTTTGTTTTGTGTTTTGTTTTTTTAAGACAGGGTTTCTCTGTGTATCCCTGGCTATCCTGGAACTCACTCTGTAGACCAGGCTGTCCTTAAACTCAGAGATCACCTGCCTATGCCTCGCAAGTGCTGGGATTAAAAGCATGCACCACCACCACCCAGAAAGACCTTATCTTTAAAGAAAATAGAAAATTATGGGGCTGGAGAGATGAATTGACAGTCAAGCGCACCAGCTGTTCTTGTAGGGGACTCAGGTTTGGTTCCCAGCCCCTCCCTGGTGGCTCCCAACTGTCTGTAACTGCAGTTCCATGATGTACTAGGCATGCTTGTGGTGCATGTACGTCCATGTGGAGAAAATACCATGTATGTAAAGTAAAAGCAAGCAAATATTAAAATAAAGGCAAGATAGAGTATGGCCACAGTTGCCTTACAATTTCTTTATTCTTCCTAAGTGTCTAGAAATCCTCTGGCCCGTATTCCGGGCTTGGTATGGGGTGGACCAACTGAGTGCTTGCCCACAGTAAGGTTGCAGAGACTGCGAAGATGGCTCCGGTGTTAACTAGACCTGCAGCCTTGGTGTTTCTTGCAGTCTCTTCTTGGTGCTTCCTGCATATCTCTTACACATTTAGGAGCGGAGTAGAGGAGCCAAATGAGGATTCCAAAAACCAGCCCGTGAAACACCCAGGTCAGATCTCATGACTCCTGGGCAAGGCTCAGCTCGGGTCCGGTATTCTCAGAGAGTTGCTATGGTCACACTGGTCTGGATTGGTAACAGGATAGTGCAGAAGCAAGCTTGTATCTGCCAAAGCCCCTTGGCCATCAGCTGGGGCTGGAGGCTAGGGTATGTTCCTAGCGTCCTGTGTAGCTGTCTTCAGTGAACTTCTGGCAGTGGACGTTTCAGGGCAGATCCATGCTCCCTGAATCAAGCCTCTGTTAACTGAGCCCTGCCTGTTGGCGAATGTCAATGTAGCTTCATGGTGCAGGTTCCTGGAGAGAGAGGGGGCGGTGGCACATTGAGGGGAGATCATTGACCCCATCAAAAGTTGAGGTACATCTTGCTCGGAGTTTTATTAACTTGGGTTTTGAGGTGCACCTGGGTGCTTAGAAGAATTGGAGCAGAGAGATTGGGCCCTGGATTTAGGTTGCATACCAGGGAGTCTAGGATGAAAGCCAGTTGACACACTAGTGAAAGTAGAATTTAAGGCGCTTTGGGTGTGGTGTCCATAATCCCAGCACCTGGGAGGAGGAAGCAGGAGGATCAGAAGTTTAAGGGCATCCTTGCCTAGGATGCTAGTCTGGGGCTAGCCTGGGCTACCCGAGAAAACCAACACAAGCCACAGCAAATGTATTGTGTAAGGGTTGGGGTGTGGCTTAGTGGTGGACTGCTGCCTAGCCTTTACCAGGCCCTGTTTCAGCTCAAAGCCTCAGAGCAGAGCAGAAGGCTCGGGTTTCGGCAAACCGGTTCTCAGCTGGTAAAAATGGTGTGTACATTCTACAATTTGCAGTTCGTGGACCTGAGCCTTTCAGATGGGGCCACATTCTGCCTGTGGCACCTCCTGGGTGGCATGAAAACCTCAGAGGGTCAAGAAGACAGACTCCATATAACGGAGGTTCCGCCCAGGGCTTTGAATGCCCTTGGAGCAAAAATTGGGGTCTCGATTTGATTTGTTAGAATTTTCTTTGAGTAGCTATTTTAACCTGGTTTGGTGGTACACACCTTTAATCGGAGCACTTGGGAGGCAGAGGCAGGAGGATGGCTGAGTCTGAAGCCAGCCTGATCTATGAAGTGAGTTCTGGGCCAGCCAGGACTACACAAGGATTGGGGTGGATTGTCTTTCAGCTGCACCAGGCGAGACCCTGTGTCAAAACACACAGGATTGATTTTTATTTATGTACACGCGTGTATGCCACTAATACATGGATGTCTCTGGAGACCGGAGAGGGCTGCCGGGTCTGTGGAGCTGGACGTACAGGCAGTTGTGAGCCTTCTGGCTCGGGTGCTGGGAACCCAGGTCCTCTGCAAGACCCCGCAAGCACCTTTAACTCCTAGCTGTCTCCCCAGTTCTGACTTTTCCTTTTAAAACATTATTTTTTTTTTACACTTTTAAATTTAATGTGTGTGCGCATCTGGTGCTCATGAGGAGGTCAGAGGACAGCGTGTGGGAGTCATTCCCCTCCTTCCATTATGTGGGGATCAAGTTCAGGTCATCGGGCTTGGTGGTAAGTACCTTTACCGCTGAGCCCTCTTGCCTGCCCTCTTAAAATTTATTTATATTTTTGTGCTGGGGAGAGTTAAGTACTTGCCTGGCAGAGACTAGAATACAGCTCCCAGGAATTCTTTCTCATCCCATGGGTGGGCCAGGTTTCTTGTTTGTCCAGCTGCACTGTGTACCACAGGCTAGCCCATCTCCGTGAATCTGACTCCGGTTTTGAGGCCTTGCGTGGCTGCTGTCTTTACCTGCTAAGCCATCTCCTGTCCCGGTTTTCTTCTGTATAATCCTCCTGCCTGCCTTTTCTCCAATGAGTCTCAGCAGCAAACTCCACCTGCCTTCTGGAGGTGGACACTGTCCAGACCGGGTCACCAGGACCTGGGAGACCCAAGGTATGCGACCTGAGTCACATTACCTTTGCCAGCTCAGGCGTTGGCTGCCAGTACCTCAGTACTCCAACCGAACCCTGTTTGTTTGGCGGGATGCCAATAGAGGACACACCCTAGGACCTGTTGAGCCGCATACCTGACTGACTAACCAACTGAATGGGCATTCAGGCATCTCCCGGGCTACCATGAGACCCCTAGGGGCCGTACAAAGTCTAGTTCCCAAAGATCTACCTGACGGGGATGTCTGGGCAGGTGTATAAAGCACATCTGTAATCCCAGCAACTTGGGAGGCTGAAGCCAGAGTATCTTAACTTTGAGGCTAGCCTGGGCTACATAGTGAGGTCTAGGGACACAAGGTATTTTAGTTGAAGGGCTGCATAGGAAAATCTTTGTATCCCACAAATTCTCTCCCCCCACCCCCGCCCCGCTGACCTATTTCTGAACTAAACTCCACAGCGGTAGCTGAGTTCTTTTGCTGAGGCTCCGGCCTTCTGGGCTGTTTCTAAAAGAGCGCTCTCAGAGGCAAGGGGGTCCGGGAGGTCACACTAACGGGAGCCGCATTGGGAGTGCCCATACGTGCCGTTTAATTGGCAAAGTAATGATGTAGATACATTTCCTTTCTTCTACTTCCCTTTAAATACTTGTTTGTTGATTGGTTGATTGGTTGGTTTTGGTTTTTCGAGACAGGGTTTCTCTGTAGAGCCCTGGCTGTCCTAGAACTCACTCTGTAGACCAGGCTGGCCTTGAACTCAGAAATCCGCCTGCCTCTGCCTCCCAAGTGCTGGGATTAAAGGTCTCTCTCCCTCTTTTCATGCTTCCTTTCCTCATCTCTTCCTCTTCCTCTCCCTCCTTCTCTTCCTCCTTTATTTCCTCTACTCTCCCTCCTCATGCTCTTTCTCCTATCCCTCCTCCTCTCCCTCTTTTTTCTCTTTCTTTCCCCTCTTCCTCTTCTCTCCCTCTTCCTCCTCCTTCTCCTCCTATTACTCCTCTTTCCCTCCTTCTCCCTCTCCCCCACCCTCTGTTTTGTGGTACCCGTCACTGAACCCAGTTCCTTGTGCCCACTAAACACACATCACACCTCTGAGACGCTTCTCCATCAGGGAGATGTGGGGTTTTTTTGTTTGTTTTTTTTTTTTTTACCTAAGAGAACTTAGGTCTTGGATGTATGGGACACTGCAGCACAGGGTATTATTTTAGAGGTCAGAAACGTTCAGGGTTGGGTGGGGTGTAGCTCACTGGGAGGATGCTCACTCTCTGCACAGCATGTATGAGGCCCTCCGTTTCATCCCCGTCACTGAAAAAAAAACAACAAAAAGAATTTCAGAAACAAAGGTGAACTAAGACGAGGTCCAGCCCCTTGGTAGAGAGAGCTTTCAGCACACCAGGCACCGTTCAGACTGGCTCTGTCATATTAACTCACTTAACACTTGGAGGGCGGTTCAGTGGCCCCTTTTGGAAGATACTGTCATCATTCCCATTTCACAGAGGGAGAAACTGAGGCTAAACAAGGATAAGTAAGTTACCCTTAGCTACACAGCTGGAGTTCAAAGTCAGGCCTGGAGTGATCTTTTTCTGTCTTATCAGCATGATGTGCAGGGGGAGGAGGGAATTGCGGGCGGGTAGCAAACACCAGCCTAGGGTCCACGGATAGTCAAAGACAACTCTCAGGAGCTAGCATGTCCAGCAAGGAGAGAGAAAGAAAGCACCCTGAGGGAAAGGGCCCCAGGCCAGCACACTCGGAAAGGCCCAGGCTTTCAGTGGGCTCTGCCCTGCCCTATGAGAATTCCCCATCTCTGAGGAAAGTGGATGTTTTGTCAACACATTCTTGAGCAGGCTGAGGCCCAGTGAGCTGTGATTACAGGTTTGGGGCTTCTGCCATCCACGTTTAGGTCCTTGGGGGGGGGCCCTCAATAGGAGATCAGTCTCAGGCCCAAAGTGTTACTTCTTCTTTTGTGCCTACCTGCTTTTTTTCTTGTAAGGGACTTTTTATAGGTAGGGGTGTTTTGTTTGCATGTATGTCTGTGCATTGTGTGTGAGCCCGTGGAGACTAGAAAAGGCTGTCAAGAGCCCTGGGGGTGGAGTGAAGGACGGTTGTGAGCCCCTGTGTGTGTGTGTGTGTGTGTGTGTGTGTGTGTGTGTGTGTGCGCGGGGGGATAGAACCTGGGTCGTCTGCAAGAGCAGCCAGTGCTCATAACCCCTGAGCCTCTTGGCAAGATTTATATATATGTATGTATGTATATATGCATATATAACATATTTATATAGATGTTCTGTGTGGAGGTCAGAAGAGGGCATCAGTTCCTCTGGAATTAGAGTTACAGGTGGTTGTGAGCCACCATGTGGTTGCTGGGAATTGAACTCAGGACCTCTGGAAGAGCAGTCAGTGCTCTTAACTGCTGAGTGTGTCTCCAACCTGGAAAGTATTCTTTCTATCTATCTATCTATCTATCTATCTATCTATCTATCTATCTATCTATCTATCTATCATCTATCTATTTAGGTTCCTCAAGACACGGTTTCTCTGTGTAGCCCTGACTTTCTTGGAATGCACTCTGTAGACCAGGCTGGCCTCGAACTCAGAAATCCACCTGCCTCTGCCTCCCAAGTGCTGGAATTAAAGGCGTGCGCCACCACCGCCCGGCCTAAGTATTTTTTTTTTAAAGGAAGTACTCATCTGTCCTCAGCCAATTTCATTTAACTGTCCAAGATCAAGTGAGCGCAGCCTTGGCACACAGCCAGTGTCCATAAGTCTATGGTTCTTGTTGTCTGGTTCCCTTAGTGCTGTGGAGGCGCTCGAACCCCACCGCGTCCATTCATCCCCATCATCGCTCCCCTGTCATTCCCAGGTGGCCTCGCCCACATTGAGGTTAACATCTCAGCCACCGGCACCCTCCCCAACGGCACCCTGTACGCAGCCAGGGGCTCCCAGGTGGACTTCCGCTGTTGCAGCGCCGCGCAGCCTCCGCCCGAGGTGGAGTGGTGGATCCAGACCCACAGCACCCCGGAGTCCCTCGGAAAGAACCTGTCGGCCAACAGCTTCACGCTGATGCTGATGTCCCAGAAGCTCCAAGGCAACTATACCTGTTCAGCCACCAACATGCTCAGCGGGAGACAGCGAAAGGTGACCACCGAGCTCCTGGTCTACTGTGCGTAAGCAGCACGCCCCTCCGTGAACCGCGTCTGTGCGTCTTCCTGTCTTCCTTTGAGCTTAACGCTGCTTGCTTCTGCCGCGCACAGTTAGTTGTCTTTACTCTGTGGCCCTGCAGTATGTTTTAGTGCCCTGTTGCTTTTCAGGGCTGTATAATACTCTCTTGCATGCCCATGCCCAGATTCTAACACGATTCATTGCCTTCTTCAACGTACATGCGCATATGTGGACTGTCAGGCGAGGGTTATCCTTTCTAGAGCATCTTTTATCTGGAATGTAGCAGAGCCCTCTAAGCTTTAGAGGGAAACTAATACAGAGCTTTTATACATTTAATAATTGTATATTATTTATATACATTATTTCTATTTATATAAATTATTTCTGTTCTTTACACAAATTATTTATATAATTTATAAAATTAGAAATTTTATTCATTTATAATTTTATACGTATAAATACATTTATTTTTAACGGGGGGGGAAAGTATTAACGTTTCAAGGTCTATACAAACTGGTCATGGTGGCTTATCGCTGTAGTCCTAGCATTTGGAAAGCTGAGGCAGAAGGACTATCATGAGTCTTAGGCCAGTTTTTGCTATGAAGTGACTGTCACCAAAAAAAAAAAAAAGCATGGGGGCTGGGAGTGGGAGTGAGTGTTTGCCCTACAAGCATGAGAAATGTAGTTCAGTCCCTAGCACTCACGTAAAAAAACAGGGTATGGTAAACAGGGTCTGTATCTGTACCCCTAAGCTGAGGAGGCTAAGGCAGAGGATTCCTGGGGCTCACTGGTTGGCCAGCCTCGCCTACGGGGCACATTCTAGACCAGTAAGGAGACCCTGTCTCAAAAAAATAAGGTGGAAGATCCTTCAGGAACAACATGCAAGGTTGACGCCTGGCCTCCACATGTTCACTTGCACACACATGTGTACATGCACACACACAGACATACCGGCACACTCACCACACATGCACATACTTGTGCACATGCATACGTGCACGTACACACATACATAGTGCACGCATGTACACTCACCACACACAAAGGTACAACATTTTGGTGTTTAGCACCTTGGTGGTGGTGTTCAGTCATCTGTACTAAGCAGCTTTTGGGTACACTAAATCAGTGGCCCCGACACAATCTACTTATGGAAAGGAAAGGTCTCTTTGGCCTTGTTGCTTTGGGCTATGTCATGACTTGAACACGTGACAAAGGGACTCGTTCACGTCGCGCCTGGGTGCAAGAGAGACAGGAAGTGGCTAGGGTCCCACAATCCCCTTTGAGGCCATACCGACCACATACCCAAAACCCCTCACTAAGGTCCCATCTCTTAAGGTTTCTACCACCTAACAGCAGTTCCAGACTGGGGGTGTCACAACCCAGAGCTAATTGCATAGGAAGCCTCAGCCCCATCGGGTAGCCGCTTCACTCTCTGATCATGAGCTCCAACGACCCTGATCCCTGGGTTTGCATATTCTGGACTTTTCTGTTTATGTATTGTTTGTGTGCATTTATGAGGGCACAGGTGTGCCATGTAGACGTCAGAGGTAACCCAGGGATCAAACTCAGCTGCTCAGGCTTAGCAACAAGCACCTTTGCGTCCTGAGCCATCTACCAGCCCCTCTGTCTTACTGACTCTCTCCTCTTTTTTTTTTTTTTTTTTTGTTCTTAGCTTGCCTGCCTGTATGTAATTCCACTGTGCACATGTCTGCTGCCCAGGAGGGCCACAAGAGGGCCCTAGATTCCCTGAAACTAGAATTACTGACAGTTCTCAGCTGCTGTGTGGGTGCTGGGAATCGAACGCTGGTCCTCCACAAGAGCAGCCAGTGCTCTTAACCACTGAGCCATCTCTCCAGCTCACTGTGTTCTTATCTCAGATGCTAGAGTCCTAGTTAATGCTTTGTAGTTGTTGCTTTGTCTTTTTGAGACGGAGTTTCCTCTGTGCAGCCCTGGCTGTCCTGGAACTCTCTCTGTAGACCAGGCTGGCCTCGAACTCAGAAATCCACCTGCCTCTGCCTCCCAAGTGCTAGGATTAAAGGTGTGCGCCACCACAGCCCGGCTAGTCTCAGGGTTTTTTAAAAATTAATTTGTAAGTGTATGAAGTGCAGGTGATTGGAGGTCGAAGGCTGACATCTGGGAGTTGGTTCTCTGCTTCCAGTGTGGGCTGCAGGCATTGGAGCTGGGTGGTAAGCCTTGCATGGAGATTGTTGTTAACTCACTGAGCCATCTGACACTCTCTGCTTTCCTCCTCCTCCTTTCCCTCCTCCTCTTCCTCTTCCTCCTCTTCCTTCTCTTCCTCCTCCTCTTCTTCCTCCTCTCCTCCTCCTCCTCTCCCTCTCCCTCTTCCTCTTCCTTCTCCTCTTCCTCCTCTTCCTCCTCCTCCTCTTTCTCCCCTTCCTCCTCTTCCTCTTCCTCCTCCTCTTCTTCCTCCTCCTTCTCCTCAATAGTATCTCTGTATCCCAGACTATCCTTGAACTAGATAAGTAGCCAAAGATGACCTTGAGCTCCTAATCCCCCTACCTCAGCCTCCCCAGTGTTAGTATTACTGACGAGTACCACCACAACCATTTTGTGGGGTGCTAGGGATTCAACCCATGGCATTGTGCATGTTAGGCAAGACATATACTATTTGAGCTACACCCTCCCCCCTGCCCCCAGCCCAATAGGGCCTTTCTGAAAGTAGATTAGGTGGCCTTAATGGCTCTCTGAGACGCTGATGCTGTAACACACACACAGAGACACACACACAGATACACAGGCAGACAGACATACAGATGTACACACAGACATACATATACAGACATAGACACAGACAGATACACACAGACATACACAGACACACACAGACTGAAGCACTCCCACAGACACACAGACACACACACATACCCTGCTGTCTGACTCAGAGTCTGAGATGAACCATGTTCTCCTCCACTCTTTTGCAGGGCCCCCTTCGTCAGCTGCTCCTCAGTGCTCGGTGGCGGTATCTTCAGAATCAACTACTCTGGAACTCACCTGTAACTGGGATGGGGGATACCCTGACCCGACCTTCCTGTGGACTGAGGAACCTGGAGGAATGATCATGGGGAATTCAAAGCTGCAAACGCTGAACCTGTCGCAGCTGTCGGAGGGCAAGAAGTTCAAATGCGTTGGGAGCCACATACTGGGACCAGAGCCTGGAGCCAGCTGCGTGGTACAGATCTGTGAGTCTGCCTTGCTTTGTCCAGGGGTTGGGGTTCACCTGTCTTCCTTTCTTCTCAAAGAATCGTTTGATGGTAGTCCTGGGAGAGAAAGTCAGTGTTGGAATACCCAGAATTCCTCCCGCTTGTCCCTGTGCTTCATGGCTATTGCCTTCGATGTTTAAAGATGTCTAAAGATGCCTGGCACAGGTTCATTATCTCAGCAGACACTGGCTGTGTGTCTGTGCCCTCCGTTTCAGTCGCTCAGCCTGGCACACTGATCAGGACAGATATGATGCCTCTGTTTGTCCTCCTTATTATGTAACAGAGGACCCCCTCCCCCCAAACTTGGTAGCTTAAACATTTTTCCCTGAGGATTTCTGGTAGGGTGCGACTGTGTGTCTCTTCTAAAGAATTTGAAGTGTTGGAGAGCGGGGGGGGGGGGGGGGGGGGGGGGGGGGGGGTTGGGAAGTCCCAGCCCGAAGACTTAGAAGTTCCGGTGTTGAAATCATGAAAGATAAGTCTTCCTAGGTACTCACTCACAAGCGTGGCGAGCTGCCTTCTTCCCACATGGTACTGCCCTCCATGGGGCTGCCGGAGCGTCCTCTTCTGGACCCACCCTCCCAGCGTGGTGACCCAGTTTCCTGAGAGCCCATGATACAAGACGGGCTGAGCCAGGCAGAAGAAGTGACCGTTTGTAGGACCGAGCCTCGGGACACAGTTGGTCTGCCTTCTCGGTTTTGTGCTAGAGATAAGACTCCAGATCTCACATGGTGTAGAGTGCTGTCTCACACAGCGCATAGTAGGATGTCCTCCCACTGACATCCCCTAGCCCAAGATCCTGTCTCTAGAGAGAGAAAAAAGGAAAATGGGGCTGGGGTCAGAGCATTATGCACAAAAGGGGGCGGGCTTACTAGATTGCCAGGTTGGTTCTGAGTTCCTGGGCTCAAGTGACCCTTCAGCCTCAGCCTCCAAATTAGCGGGACCACAGACAGAGAGCCACCGTGGTCCACTGCAGCCATCTCAAAGTGGCCTGCAGGTCAGTTGGTTGAAGAATTCCTGAAGGGCCACCCTCGGCAGCCCGTCATATGAAGGCCCTCAAATCTGTGCCCACTTGCACACAGATCTCCACAGGCCCCACGTCTTCTGGAGCCTTTCTTCCTATCCTTGCCCTCTGTATCCTCTCAGATAAACCCTTGAATGGCTACGTGCCATACTAGTCAAGGGTGTGTGACAGTTTTCGTATGTGGCTGTTATACCTGTATGTCTGTATACCACATGAGTGCCTGGTGCCCTTGGAGGCCAGAAGAGGGCATTGGATCTCCTGGAAGAAGAGTTAGAGATGATGGTTGTAAGTCACCATGTGGATGCTGGGAACAGAACCCAGGTCCTACGCAAGAATATAAGTGCCCTTGTCTTGGTTCAGGTTTCTTTTTTTTTTTTTTTTCTTTTTTGGTTTTTCAGACATGGTTTCTCTGTGTAGCCCTGGCTGTCCTGGAACTCACTCTGTAGTCTAGGCTGGCCTCGAACTCAGAAATCCACCTGCCTCTGCCTCCCAAGTGCTGGGAATAAAGGCGTGCGCCACCACCACCCGGCATTGGTTCAGGTTTCTATTGCTGTGCTGAAACACCATGACCAAAGCCAAAGGGTTTATTTGGGTTACTGTTCCACTTTAGTGTTGGTCATGGAAGTAACTCAGGACAGGAACTCGCACAGGGCAGGAATCTGGAGGCAGGAGTTGGCGCAGATGCTATGGAGGGGTGCTGCTTACAGGCTTGTTCCCTATGGCTTGCTCAGCCTGCTTTCTTATAGAACTCAGGACCACCAGCCCAGGGATGGCTCCACCCACAGTGGGCAGGGCCCTCTGCTGTGTCAATCACTAATTAAGAAAATGCTCTATTGTCTTGCATCGTGTGCAGCCCCATCTTACTTTTCTCAATGGAGGCTCCATTTCCTGTGACTCCACCCTGTGTCAAAGTTCACGTAGGATTAGCCAGCATAGCTCTTCACTGTTCTCAGCCGTCTCTTCAGCCCCATGGGTGATGAAGAGGGAGCATGCTCTGCTTGTCAGGACTAGTCATGACTGTGACCTCTGGTTGGGGGTTAGGGACCCGTCGCGCGGGGGGGGGGGGCCAGGGTCACTTAAGGAAGAAGCAGCCATTTCTGAGGCTCTAGTTTGACAGTCCCAGAAGGCTTGCCACTGATACTGGCATCAGGACTCAGAAGGAGATCTGGGTTTCCCACGGAGAGGGAGGGAAGGCTATCCCACTTTGAGGAAGGATATCTTTCCTGAGTGTCCCAGGAAGCCTCTCAGGCTTACGCAGTTCTCTTCTGGTGATCTGACCTGATCACCAAACTTGGAGGTTCTACCTAGCCTTTTGGCCTCTCTTCCCTTCTCCCTTCCCCTTCCCTCTTCTTCTCTTCCCAGGGTGCCAGGTCTGACACCCTAGCTTCTCCTTTGGGTCTACCGTTGAGAGAGTGGTTCCATTCTACCAGGCAGGATCCCAGAGAGTCACTGTGGGAAAACCCTTTAAAGGCGACTTCCTAGCCCAGCGGTTCTCAACCTGTGGGTCTCGACCCTTCTATGGGTCACATATCCTGAATATCAGATATTTACGTTATGATTGATGACTAGGAAAAATACAGGTATGAAGGAGCAATGAAAGCAATTTTATGGTCGGGGGAGGGTTACCACATGAGAAATGGTATTAAAGCATCCATGCACTAGGAAGGTTGAGACCCACTGTCCTAGCCCATCCCGGAAGAGTATGTGTTCGAGAGAGAGCTTCCCATGTAGGAGACAAATGGATCATTTCCGGCCTTGGTACCTCTCTCATCCGACTCAAGTCAGACGACTCCGCAGTGTTGTGTGGCTTTCCTTGGGGAGACGAAAACAAGCATCTCAGTAGCTAGGAGCCACTGAGCTTACTGGGCCTTCTTGTAGAAAGATGAGGGGGCACTCACGGGAGCACAGCATGGTGACCCAGGGAGCACAGCATGGTGACTCAACTACATACAGAGACTGAGTGAGGCTGTAACTACCTGAGCATTTGATCTTCCCTCCTCCCTCCTGCTAGGAGTGTAGAGAGGAAATAGCCGTGTGGCAGGAGGCCACAGCACTGCATGGTAAATCATCCAGGGCAGCTCTGTGGTAGACGGAATAGTGTTCCACTGTAGGAGGCTGGGTCCTGGTCCCTAGAGCCTTTATAAGTCATTCTGGATTATTGGGTGGTCCCAGTGTTACCCTGTGCATCCTTATAAGAGGGGGATGGGAAGTCAGAATCATGGAGTAATAGGATCACAGAAAGAAGATATTAAAGAGATGTGAGGAGAGGCATGGAGCCAATACCCGTAATCCAGCCACTTGTGAGGCAGAGCCAGGAAGTTAGTATCTGTGAGTTCCAGGCTAGCCTGCTCTCCATGGTAAGTTTCAGACTAGCCTGGGCTACCTAGTGAGAACCTGTCCTAAACAAAACAAAACCTAAAACCAAGAAAGAGAAAAAGAGGGGGTGGCGAGATGGCTCAGGGATGAAGGGAGCTAGCTTTTCAAGCTCATGAAGGACTGAAACCCATTGTAAGGTTCCAGTTTCCAGGCGGTTTGCAAAGCTAGTTCCAGAGGGCTCTCACACCTCTGACCTTTGAGAGCACGCATACACGGTCACACATCCACCCCAACCCCCGTGTGTGTCACATACATGTAATTAAAAATAAAAATACATACTCAAAAAGAAGGAAATCTGAAGCCAGGTGGTGGTGGCGCACGGCTTTAATCCCAGCACTTGGGAGGCAGAGGCAGGATTTCTGAGTTCGAGGCCAACCTGGTCTACAGAGTGAGTTCCAGGACCGCCAGGGCTAAACAGAAAAAACCTTTTTTCAAAAAACCAAAAAAAAAAAAAAAAAAAAAAAGGAACTCTGAGCATGGAAGCTCAGAGGCTCAGGAGTTCAAGGCCAGCCTCGGCCATATAGCAAGTTCAAAGGACAGCCTGAGCTATATGACGCCTGCCTCAAAAAAAAAAAAAAAAGAAAAAAAGAAAAAGAAAAACAGAAGGAACCACCTGTGAGGCATAGTCTCCCGGGAGCATGCAAAAGGAGCCAGTTTTGTTAGCAACCTGACTTTCACCCCCGTAAGAGCATAGAACTTATGTCATGGGACTGTCATGTTCACGGTCCTAGACCATACCTTTAATCCATTGGTCCTTGTTGGCCTGTGTATCCTTGTTTAACATGGTCAGAGTACTTATCTTACTTTATGTCTGTGTCTCTGTGTGTGTGTCCACATGTCACAGTGCAAGCATAGAGGTCAGAGGATAACTTTTCTGGTATAACTTCTCTCCTGTCATGTGTGTCTCAGGAATCCAGCTCAGAACCTCGGGCTTGGCCACAAGCCTCTACACTCACTGAGCCCTCTCACTGGGCCGTGTACTTTTACATAGATGTGTAACATGCTAGGTGACAGGGCCTGGTGCTTGGGTCTCAGGGTCCATGGTCGTCAACCTATTGGGTTCCACCCAGAAGTGTAATGGTGTTCCATGGAAAGCCTCCTGTCCCGGGTGTCTTCTTAGTCCTAGGAAAAGTGGGACAGGAGGTTACCCTGTACCCTAGCTGAGACACTCACTTGGCTTTCTTTGTGCCTCAGTTTCCTTCTCTACAAAATGGGAATAAAGTCAAGGTACTTTTGAGAGTGAGTAGGGCTCCTTTGCATATAGTTCCTTGTATGTAGTAAGTACCTGATAGACATTAAGTTTTATTCTGGAGGACCAGCATCTGCGGGAATCGCGAGCATTGGGTTTTTTTTTGTTTGTTTGCTTGTTTGTTTGTTTGTTTGTTTGTTTTTGCTGGGAAAGGATAGGCCATGGCTCCACGCTTCCTAAAACATTTGTCTCTGTTAACCCTCTTTTGGCCACCAGCGAGCCCCTTACTGACCTCCCAGCCCATGAAAACTTGCTTCGTGGGGGGCAGTGTGACATTCACCTGCCAAGTGACAGGAGCCAACCCACCTGCAAGGATCCGGTGGCTGAGGAACCTCACGCAGCCAGAGGCAGCCATCCAGCCGAGCAGCCGCCACGTCATCACCCAGCAGGGCCAGAGCTCCTCTCTCACCATCCACAACTGTTCCCAGGACCTGGATGGAGGCTTTTACTTCTGCCGGGCTGACAACCTCATTGGGGTGAGGGCGGTGGACATCTGGCTGAGTGTGAAAGGTGGGTGCTCAGGGGGGTCCTCCAAAGGTTAAGAGCCTTAGAGCATCTGGTACCATTGAGGGGGTGGCTTGGGAGCCTCCCTTTATGGGCCATGATCAACTGAAGATGGTGTGTCCTTGCCTGTGGTTTGACAGGGTGCCTGAGAAAATTGGCGTCTAATTCTGGGAGCGCCAATATATGCATAGAACACACACACACAAAAATCACACCTTTTACTCATCAAAGAATATGGACTAGAGCCGGGCGGTGGTGGTGCACGCCTTTAATCCCAGCACTTGGGAGGCAGAGACAGGCGGATTTCTGAGTTCGAGGCCAGCCTGGTCTACAGAGTGAGTTCCAGGACAGCCAGGGCTACACAGAGAAACCCTGTATTGAAAAACCAAAAAAAAAAAAAAAGAATGTACTAGAACATGCTTACTTACATGTGTGCATGTATGTGCATACACATGTACAGTAAAAGCAGTGAATTGTAACAGGAAAGTGAGCACGTAGGTCTCTGCTGTCCCACTTACAACAAATAAGGGGACCCTATGGGGACCAGGGAAAATTCTAGAAATGTTTATGTCGTAACAGTTTTTAAGACATAAAAACCTTGGATTCCATCTCTCTCACCTCATAAACTGGGCATGGCGGTGCACCCGCCTGCAGTCTTAGCGCTCAGGAGGTGGAGGTCAGCTCTTGCTGAGTTTGTAAAGATGGCAGACGCCTGTAATTCCAAGCTCCAAGGGATGCCAACTATAAACTCAGTATCAGTCAGTCAACTCTCAGTGACGTCAAAGACGCTCTGTGCCCTGCAGTGTGAAATACCCCAAATTAAATTCTCTTTACTTGTCTGTTAAGGCTGTCTCAGCTAAATAAGAGAGTTGGAGGCCAGTCTAGGCTCCAGACCATGTCTGCAAACAAGAAAGGAGGAATGAGGAACTGGAGGGAAGGAAGGAGAGAGGGAGGGAGGGTTCCGTTAAACCAGAGCTGCCGCTTAAATGTTTGTCATTTTTCCAGGGCCCCGGGTGTGAAGATGCATAAAACAGGTGCACAGATCAAACCTTTACTGATAATAAATCATAAAGCAATTTTTTTTCTTTAGGAAAACATTTTCGGGATATACATGCACTTTGATCGTTCTTTAGATATGAAAGCAAATCAGTCTACTAGTGAGATAGACACACAGTGCTTACTTTTACACGGAGAATTAAATTGCGGGCTGGCGAGATGGCTCTGTGAATAGTTGCCAGGTCTGACCGCCTGAGTTGGATCTCTGGGGGCCCACGTAGTGGAAGGAAAGATCTGACTGCCTCACGGTGACCTCTGACCTCCATGCACGTGCTGTGACACGCGTGCACTAACGTATGAGCACACGCACAACCACAATGAAGAGAATTAAATTGGGCGAGTATTTTCCATGGCAGGGAGGGCACAGAGCATCTTCAGTGTCGTGCGGCATTGACTGATAGCTTTGATTTTGTAGTCAGCGTTGATAGAGTACCTGGAATTACAGGTGTCTGCCACCATGCCTGGCTTTCTTACAGTTTCTTCAGATGGTTTTAACATTCTCCCATCACGGTTTAATTCAGACTTGATTTTTGTGGGTGGTATGCGGTTGGATCAAGTTTCTTTCCTTCCTTTGGCCCCTCCCACGTTGCTTAGGTTTGAGCCAGCTCCAGCTGTCCCCTGCTTCTTTAGTCCCCTCTTAAAACAACATCAAGTTCCTCTCCTGCCTGTTTTCCGTTTTGAGACAGGGTCTTGATGTGTAGCCCTGGCTAGGCTGGAACTTCCTCTGTAGACCAGGCTGGCCTTGAATTTGTGATCCTTCTACCTCAGGCCTGTGTCACCACTCAACATACCACACTTCTGTCCTGGGCAGGCAGTGGTGGCGCATACCTTTGCTCCTCTCCTTCCTGAGGCAGAAGTGGACAGATCTCTGTGAGTTCTGGCTAGCCTTGTCTGTAGAACTAGTTTCAGGACAGCCAGAGCTACACAGAGAAACCTGTCTTGGGGAAAAACAGATATAAATAAACAAACAGACGAATAAATAAATAACTCTGTCCTGCGCTAGTCTGTCTGCATACCGGGTGCTGTCCATGGGGAATCTGTAGGGTTCTGGCCTGACCAGAGTAGCCAAAGAGTTGTGGTTCTCAGAGGGAACCCAGAGCAAAGTGGGCTGCTGGGTCTCTTCCAAGGCCACCGCTGTCCCAGAGTCTGGCAGGCAGCAAGATGCAGTGGGCAGCTAGGGGCCAAGTCAGGGCCACCCAGCAGGAAGTGGCAGCAGATGGGATTGTGCACCTGGATGGTTTGGCCGGGTTCCATAGAGTGATACAGCACAACAGGACAGGCACTCTGAGCTGGTTTATACCTTTGTAGGTAGGATCTTTTTTTTTTTTTCTTTTAAATCTTTTTTTTTTAATTTTTATTTATTTATTATATGTAAGTACACTGTAGCTGTCTTCAGACACCCCACAAGAGGGCATCAGATATCATTGCAGATGGTTGTTAGCCACCATGTGGTTGCTGGGATTTGAACTCGTGACCTCTGGAAGTGCAGTCAGTGCTCTTAACCACTGAGCCATCTCACCAGCCCTGTAGGTAGGATCTTATAAACATTTTGGGGTAGGTTAGGGTCTAAAGGCGGGTGCTTTCTATTGGCTCAGTCTGAGATGTTAGGGATGCCTCATTTGCATGTGAGAGGACTTCCGATGTGGTCCCTACCTGACTGATTGTCACAGTCTTCTCAGTGGGCTGTCGTGATCACGTGTTCCAGGACAGGAACCTGGTCGAGAGTAGATTTAAATGTCTCAAATTATTAGAATTTGCCGGGTTTCCTGAATCAGCTCGACCTTATCAGGTTGTCTGTCTGGTGGCATGGTCCCTTGCCCCAAAGTCCTGGTCCATTGGTCACCATGTTCACTGTGAGATACAAAGCTGGGGCTTTGGATAAGTCCTAGGGTCTAGTCCACACGGAGTTACCCAGCTCTGCATTATCCTTTGATGTTACATGCTTCGCCTGACTCCGTCAGTTCTATCTGCCTGAGGTTGATTTTGGAGAGGGTGTGTGGACACAAAACCAAGATGAGACGGAAGGTAGGTTTGGGCTAAAGAGAGGAGGTTTCAGGCGACCAAGCGAAAGGGCTCATGGCGTGATCTCTTCACAGAACCTATGAACATCGGGGGCATCGTGGGCACGGTGGTGAGCCTCCTTCTGCTGGGACTGGCCATCGTTTCAGGCCTCATGCTGTATTACAGCCCTGCTTTCTGCTGGAAAGGTAAGATCCCATTGAGTTTCCAGCCTTCCCCCCCCAACCCCCGGGGCTTTAAAAAAAAAAGCTGTGGGCGGGGCTGGAGAGATAGCAAAGCAGTTAAGAGCATTGGCTGCTCTCCCAGAGAATCAGGGTTTGATTCCCAGCATCCATATGGTAGCTCACAACTGTCAGTAACTTCAGATCCAGCTTCCACCTAGTGGCCCGTCCTATAAAGCCTCATTGCAACCCTATATACACAGGATAAAGAGGCACTTAAGTATGTCATCACGAACTTAGAATGTTTCTTAGATGTTCATGCTTTGCCAGTGTTAGTTTCTTTTTAAGATACTTAGTTACACCTTTATTATTTGCTCTGTACATGTATGTGTTGTGTGCACAGGAATGTGTGGTTGTGTGTGCCCATGTGTGTCCATGCAGAGGCCGGAGCACGATGTTGGGTTTTTTTCCTCTTTTACTCTGCTTTACTAGCTTGGGACAGGGTCTGTGTGTACTGGGTGCTCACCTCTTTGGCTAGGCTGACTGGCCAGCAATATCCTGGACTTCACGGGTCACACACCCCTAATGATGCGGTCCCAGGAACATACAGCTATGTCTGGCTTCTTAGGCATTTGACTTTGATCTTAGGGCCTCAGGCTCTTGAGTTATCTCCTCAGTCATTGGTGATTGAGAATGAACCAATGTGTCCAGAGCTTACCTCTCTCTTCTTTTTCTCTCTTTCAGCAGGAAGCACATTCAGGTGAGTGACTTGGGGATTCTAATCCAAAGTCTTTTCCCATAATTCCTTGTCATTGTTGTTCTTATTCCTTTATAAGAACAATAACAATGATGGGATCTACTGTGTGCCTGACCCTGAGCCGGGAGCTTACTGAGGCATTGTGGGAAAACCTCCATCTTGGTGATGTAGTGGGGTGGGGGTGGTGTGTCTGTTTCACAGAGGAGGTGGAGACCCAATGGAGTGAGTGATTTCTGCAGGTGAATTAAGGAGGAAGATGGTAGGGTCTGTCCTCTGACCCAGGTCTGATGGATTCCAGAGTCCTGTGCCCCTTTACAGTGGAAAGCTTCAGGAAGAGCATGCTGAAACATAGGAACTCTGTATCCACTCCAGCCAGGTTACTCAAGTGTTGGCTTCTAGTTCGTTTACTAAAAGTTAAAAGGAAGTCCCAGCCCCTCAAATGCTTTGGAAGACAAGTCTAAGCATGTCCCGAAGTCCCCGCCCCCACGGGAAAATTCAGCCAAGGAAAAGTAAACACGTGGAATTTGTATATTTTATTTCCCTAAGGTGATCCTGGGCAGTAGAGAGAATTCTTCTTTATGATCCGTGAACAATTAGTTCCTTATTCTCTCATTTTTTCCACAACGGGATCTTACTGGTCTAGAACCTTCTTTCGTGGGAAGCCATTCCCTTTGCTGCTCTTGTTAAGGGCCATTGTCCAGGCAGATTTGTCACTCCCAGGCTGATTATTCACAGGAGACACCGTGAGGCCTTCTGGGAAGTGGCTGTGGAACCATGGACCTAGGCCCCAGTTGCCGATCTTTTGTACAGGGTCTCCTTTGGTTTCTGACCCAGGGACAAGGGACTGAGGTGAATATTTTGTATATCAAAGCAAGACCTGGCCTCCAGGTTCTCCCAGCATCCCTCAGTCCCTACCTGGCATACCCTGCCCCAAACCTTGAACTTTCCAGCCCAGGACTGCCTTCCCCAGAGGCTCCTGTCTATAATAATCTAGATATTTTGGTTCTCTCTCTCTCTCTCTCTCTCTCCTCCTTCTCTCCTTTCTCTGTATGCCCTCCCTTTCTCTCCACCCTTCGCCAACCCCCACCACCCCTGTCCTCAATCCTTGGGGCCGGTGAACTCCCACCCACTGGGGAGCGGCTTCCCAAATAAAGCTGCCTTTAATTTAGTCTAATGTGGCTTGAATTGGCTCATTTCACGGGCAGTGGGTACCAATCAGGGATTCCCAGTCCTCTGAGCCTGCATCCCTCCATCCCTTTCACGAAGAGGTGTGAGGAGGTGTGAACGTGGTGCCCCTGGGCCCGTGCTCAGCTGGAAACACATCATTCCCTCCTTGAGCCTGTGGCTGGGCAAGGCAGGCTGCAGCTGTGTAAAGTAAGAGCAGTTCTAAGCCAGGATGCTGGACACAGGGCCCACCTGCAGTTAGAGAGAGAGATGACCTTACCTGGGGAGAGATCTGTAGGAGTGAGACAGAAATAAGGCCATTTGAGGAAAAAACTTGGTTTTTATTTTATTGTTTTATTTTTCTGGCTTGTTTATTTGTTTGTTTGAGACTAGTTCTTAGGTATTCTGGGTTGGCCTCAAACTCAACTGTGATGGACAAAGATGACTTAACTTCTGATCTTCCTGCATCTGCCTCCCAAGTGCTAGAATTGCAGGCGCTCTCTACCATGCATACATACTTACTAGGCAAACACCCCAGCCACTGAGCTACACTTCCAGCCCAGAATGCAGCATTTATATACATTCTACATTGAGAAATACTCTGCTAAGCCGGGCAGTGGTGGCGCACGCCTTTAATCCCAGCACTTGGGAGGCAGAGGCAGGTGGATTTCTGAGTTTGAGGCCAGCCTGGTCTACAGAGTGAGTTCCAGGATAGCCAGGGCAGAGAGAAACCCTGTCTAGAAAGACCAAAAAAAAAAAAAAAAAAGAGAGAGAGAGGGAGAGGGAGAGAGAGAGAGAAATACTGTGCTAGACACCTGGGACAACACCGTAGGGACAGCATATAAACAGATACCCACAAAAGACATGGCCACCATCTCTCACAATCGGTGCCTAAGTCTTATCCTGAAGTTACAGTCTCACCGTCACAACTAAGCTGTACCGGATGCGGGAAGAATTTCCCATAATCATAAGAGGATTACAAGGAGACCCGTGTGGTCTCTTCAGTGGGGCTTGAGTTGAGATAGACAAGATACCTTCCTGATTCTTTTTTTCTCTTTTGGAAATTAGGGGACAGGACATGGGTGACGTCATGGTTTTGGTGGATTCGGAAGAGGAGGAGGAAGAAGAGGAGGAGGAGGAGGAGGAGAACAAGGAAGATGGGGCTGAAGAGATGGAGCAGGAGACAGATGAGGCAGAGGAGTTGCCGAAAGAGATAAGCAAGCATGGACGCGTTCACAGGGTGACTGCTCTGGTCAACGGGAATTTAGACCGCATGGGGAACGGACTCCAGGAGTTTCAGGGTAAGCTTGTCTCCCCTCCAGACTCTCAAATCGGTGTAGTCAGCTTTCCTAGAGGGTGTCTCTAATAAATAGGAGCTGTTTCTTAAAACCTAGGCAAGTCAGCTGACTCAAGTTTAGTCTAGAACCCAAGACTCCATGCTAGGTCGAGTGCTGTTCCCCCCAAAAAAACCAAAATGTAAAACATTTAAATGTCAGTCTATGCCACAAGTCTGATGGATGCGTCAGGATACTTGAACTTTGTTTCATGCACAAGATTATTTAAAATAGTGTATAACATGGGGCTGGCAAGATGGCTAAATGGGTAAAGGGTCTTGCTGCCAAGCCTGATGACCAGAGCTCAGTCCCTGATGGAAAGAGTGAATTTGCTCCTCGAAGTTGTTCTCTGACCTCCACCTCCACCCACTACATAAATAATAAAATGAGATATTTTATACAGTTACCTACACCTGAGACTTACTTAAGGAAACTCTGAAATAAACAGAGTTGATGTTTATTTAGATTTGTGCCCCACCCGATTGATCTGCATTCTGTAAATGCAAATTACCCACAAGCTAAAGTCCACATCACCTCTGGTCCCAAGCATTTGGGTAAGATAATCGACACGAGTTAACTACCAGCACAGAGAAGAAATCATCCAACGAAGTCCATGGGAGAAGATGCAGTAAGGGGATTGTTGAATTAGGAAAAAAAGCCCTGTATTGTCTGTGAATGCCCGGGCAGCCTCCTAAGGCCAGGGGCCTTAAGTGTATGGGGGAAGCTTTAATGTGTATACACATTAAGTGTATGGGGGAAGCTTTAATGTGTATACACATTAAGTGTATGGGGGAAGCTTAAATGGAAATAACATGTATCCAGCGCAAAGAGAAAGCCCTAAGAGAAGTGTGCTAAAGGAGGGATTTGATTATCTGGTAGTTGGTAGATTTAAAAATCCTGAGACCGGGTGGTGGTGGGACACGCCGTTAGTTCCAGCACTTAGGAGGCAGAGGCAGGCAGATGGACCTCTGAGATGAAGGAGCGAGTTCCAGGACAGACAGGGTTATACCTTGTCTCAAACAAACAACAACAAAAGAATAGGAGCTGGAAGGAAGATGGGAGCTGGAAAGGGGTGCTTTGGTCTGGACCAGCTTTGGCTTGGAGCCAGGTCTGTGAGAACGGTTGAGTTTGAATGAGTAGAGAGAAGAGAGGGCATTTCAGGTCTTGAGTCAGGAGTGTGATGTAGGACAAGCATCAGGCATTCTAGATCCTGAGTTCAGAATCGGGTATAGTAGCAGAAGCCAGCACTTGGGAAGTAGAAGCGGGAGGATCAGCAGTTGAGTTATCCTTGGTTACATAGTAAGGATATGGGGCCAGCCTGGGCTACATTGAGACCCTGTCTAAAAAACAAAAAGGAGATTGCTGTACCCCCTGCCCTACTTCCTCCCTGAAATCCAGTTCTTGCGGCTCACAAGTCACCAAGATGACAGGAGTCAGAAGGTAGACACTTCCCCTGCTGCTCTGAAGTCAGTCAATTCCATCTCTTTCACCTCCAATAGATGACAGTGATGGACAGCAAAGCGACATGGTTCAAGAGGAAGACAAGCCAGTTTGAGGAAGAGGATGATCCACTGTCAGCGCTGTCTGGCAAGCTCAGTCGGTTTTGGCCGCCCTCTCACCGTGCTGCCCCGGGAAGCTTGTGTTAGGGACCGCTGGGGTCTCCGCAGCACGGACACTGCTTCTCTCCTTCCAACGTCTCCCACTGATCTCATTTGGTGTGAGTCACCTCAGCGGTGTGAAGTGCACTGGGAAGGAGCAGCCAGTGTGGGACAAAACTGCAGTGGTGTCTGAGGGGCCACTTGGCTGTGACACTTGGCTCTACCCAGGTGATTTACTGTGACAGACACTGATTGAGGGTGGGGGGGGGCACTCGGTACACGTGCACTGTGCCACTAGTCAAGGTTTATAGCCAGTTTCCCCAACATGTATATGGAGGTGAGTCTTTTTAATCACTGTTGAGGTGAGGAACCAGGCAGCAGGGATGTGTAGTTGGATTGGGCCTGGGAGTCAGACTGAGGCTTGAATTCTTACTTCTTGTTTTGCAGCTGTTTTTCCATCTAGAATATTACCCGTGAGGTAGTACCAACTTTCCAAGCTCCCAAGAGATGGAGGAGGTAGTTCAGGGTGTAAGAGTGCCATGGGAGGGGTTCCACTGAGCTATTGCAGGAGCCTTCTTTGTAGACTCTCAGCTTCCCCCACCCCAACTGTGCTTTTTCCCCTAGAGAGGGATGCACCTTTCCTTCTAGCCTTCACAGTGTACAGACATCTGCTTACGGTTAAAAAAGCCTCCTAAGGGATGGACCTAAGACTCCTTTTCCTCATGTCTCCTGTGCTGAGCAAGAGGAACAGTTCCTCACAGAGCATCACCTGATATGAACTGAATGGACAGTCCACTTGGCCTCAGTGTCTGTCTTGGGAATGGGAGCGTGTGTTAACAGCCTACTTACTTAGGACAGTAAGTTTCAAAAGAAAATAGTGGGTGATGACTTTAGCTTGGGACAGCTAGGTTCTGGGGATTTTTATTTTATTTTTAAAAAGTTTTCATCTAAACATTCTGGAGTCAGGGATCTTCTAAGGGTGCAATAGGTCTGTGCTAACCGTGAAAATCTGACTTGAAGTTTGCACTCCGTACTTGTGCACATCCTGCTCAAACAGGACAAAGATCTAAGGCTTTAAGGACTTCCTAACACTGGGGCCCCAAGATTCCTGAGGAGCTGGTTAAAGGAAGTACCTGCAAGGTGTAGGAGGGGCCATCCTCTTTGATGCAGGGACTGAAGTGAAGAAACCATTCCTGGCATGGCCCATCCTGAGCTCAGGGCACTGAGCAGTCCACCTAGCTGTGAATTGGAGCCCTTGGGAATAGCTGTGAAGTGCAGATCTCTTACTTCTCTGTTGCCTCAGGCACTGGATTACTCCAGTCTCTGTCATTTTACTCAGGTTGCCTTCAGTCCTGCGAGCTGGCCTTTCCTTTTAGGCCTGAGTTCCCGACTTTGTCTGCGACTCAGAGGCAACTTTAAAAGAGAAGTTTGGCCGGAAAGTTGCTAGCCGGGGACCATAGTGAATGTTTCATGAGATCACTCGGTGCTTCCCACAGCTTCCTCTTGTGTGCACACCTGGCAATAGGAAATATTTGAGGGTTTTCCCACTAGCAAATGGGAACTTTCGAGGGCTTGGTGCCAAATGCTGTTCTCAAGCCCTGACCAGTTATCATTGTCAATTTTATCAGCCTGTGTGCACATTTATAAAATGGCAGTTAAGAGCCCAGGCACTGTTTTAAGGCTTTGTGAAAAACTGGAGCCCGTATCTCCTCTTTCCCTTAATGCAATCCATACCCAGATCTCAAGGTGTATGTGTTAAAGGCCCAAGTGCAATTTTCGCATTAGTCTTTAAAAAAAATAATTCTTATCTGCACGTCTTAGTTAACTGATGAGATCCACTTGTTAGAACTTGGAAGAAAACCACTTCACGGTTGTTTTAATCACACTGATTTCCCTCAAACCCCAGCAGTCATGGGAGACAGGCTCTGCATTCCTGTGGCTTTGGCATTCACTCCATTTCTCACAGTTGTAGAAGGAAGCGTACAGGAAGCATCACTTTCACTGGGTACAGCTTTGTATAGTAAGTGCCAATCAAATTTCTCACCACAGGACTGGGCTACCAGCTGCTGCAAAGAAAAACTTGCAGATGGTTCAACGTGGTTGACCTTACCATTTCATAGGGGAAATTTGGGAGAAATTAGTTCTAAGGTTATAAATTTTTGAGACTTTGGAATAAAGCCACTTTCTAAAACATATCTCAACGATCTTGATTTATGCCTTACTAGTGGATGTAAAAGAATGCGGGGTTCAGACTTGTGCCTGTAATTCCTGCACTTGGGAAGCTGAGGCAGGATGGCTGTGGGCCTGAGTCCAGCCTAGGCTACAGAATGAGACCTTGTCTAAAAAAAAGAAAAACAAACAAAACAAAAGCAAACCAACCAGCATCAGTTAGCAAGGTGACTCAACCTGTACAGGCATTTGCTTCCAAGCCTAAACTCAATCTCTGGGACCAACATGGTAGGTGAGGAATTATTCCCAAGTGTTGTCCCCAGCATCCACCACGCATACCATGGGATCCCTCAACTAGCTGCATATACGCACAAGATAGATAAATGGACATTTTAAAAAAACTTTGTAAAAAGAGCTGAAAAGGTGGTTTTATTTTGTCTCTGTTGCCACTTGTACTTTCCATGACTTGTGCTCACTGGATGCGTAAGTACAGGAAAGGGTGTAGCTGACCGATAGAGTGTTTATTAACTACGAATGGGTTCAGTCTCCAGCACCTCGACATAGAAACAAGACAAACCATTAAAAATGAGACCCTGAAGGCAGCAGGAAACGGACATTTGGGAGATGAAGTACAGAAAAGAGAGATGGCTCTGTAACAGAGCACTGGCTGCTCTTCCAGAGGACCTGGGCTCAATGTCCACTGCCCACAGGACAGCTCACATCATTTGTCGATCAGTTCCAGGGAATCCAATGTCCTCTTCTGGTCTCTTTGGAGACCCAGCAAATATGTGCTGATATATGTTGCAGGCAAAACCAGCCAAACACACACACACACACACACCCCTAGTGGTGACACACTAGGGACCGTATCATTGGCCTCCACAATGACATAGTCACAAAGAACACTGAAGAGAAAATGGTAGAGGTTGGGGAAGCAAAGCAGGTTAAAAAGAACTGGAAAGAGTAGTGGAAAGTAAGTCTGGAGAATAAAATGGGGATCTAAGATCGGGAAGGACATCACAAAGATAACGGGAACCCCGGGGCTGATGGTGGGGAACACGTTTTTTAAAAAAATACCTTTAGATATCGAATGTGAAAGGGGGCCTGTTAAGTAAAAATGGAGGATGAGAAAGGGGACAGGCAAGTAGAAAACATGAATAAGTGTGTGTGTGCACGCACACGCGTGTGTCCTCAAAGCAGACAACTGGTAAACCGCGGGAATAGTGTAGGAGACCTGAGAACTGGGTCATGGAAGAGTGTGCCTGGACTAAAAGCTAGGTGGAAGAGAGAAGCATACAAAACAAGACTGTAGAAGCAAGGTTTCGGGCTCAAAAAACACGGAAGACTAAACCCATCACTTTCCCTTCCCGGGCTCCACATTAGAAAGAAAGAGATCCATGACTCAAAAGGGAAGGAAATCGGGAGATTGAACTTTGAGGGGGAAAAAAAAAAACACAGGCTGGGAACAGGAAAAGGGACTGGAGCGACCTTCAGTGTGGGGGTGGGGCGGTGACAGGAGACTACCGGGGGATTACAGAGCCCACGAGAAACTGCAAAGCCAGGAACGACTACAGGAACTAAAGCAATTACTAAACCTCCCTTTTCTCCTACCCTGGCTCCACGTTAAATGCACCTGATGCAAACAGGACCAGGACCCGAGGTGCCAGCATCTGAGGACATGCAGGGGAAAATCTCGGCGCGGGGGGGGGGGGGGGGGTAGCCTTGACCGCATCTCCCCTGTCGTCCCTCCCCTTGGCTTTTCCAGGCCGGGCTCTCCAGCACCCCTCCCTCTCCGGGCTGTTGTCAAGGCCAGCATTCCAGCCCCCGCATGGTTCCCAGCTCCTTCAGCTAGACTGATAGTTAACACTCAGCAGCATGGCCCCAGCAGCTTCCCTGAGCCTCGAGATGCCCCTTAGGTCTCTCCATGCCATCCCCAACCCTTACCTCCCCATCTTTACTCGCTCGAATTCAAGGCTTCCACTTTAGATGCTCAGAGACCCGGCCTCGCGTCTGCTCAACCCAGTGTTTCCCCCCACCTCGTGTCCCCTCAGCCCCACTTCCCCGGCTCCGTGTCCCATCAGTCCAGCGTTCCCCGCCACCCCCCGTCTCGTGTTCTCGAAGCCTGGCGTTCCCCCGATCCCAAGTTCCTCCGACCCCACGTCCCTTCAGTCCAGTATTCCCCGGGCCCCGTGTTCCTCCGGCTCTGTGTCCCCTCAGCACCCCTTCCTCTCGACCCGGCGTTTTCCCCCCAGCCCCGTGTCCCCTCAGTCCCGGCGTTCCCCCGGCTTCACGTCCCCTCGGCTCGGCGTTTCCCCCGCCTCCCGTTCCCTCTGCCCGGCGTTCCTCCCGCCCCGTGTCCCTTCAGTCCCTACGTTCCCCCCGCTTCACGTCCCCTCGGCCCGGCGTTCCCCCTCGCCTCCCGTCCCCTCGGCCCGGCGTTCCCCCTCGCCTCCCGTTCCCTCGGCCCGGCGTTCCCCGAAGCCCGGCGTTGCCCCCGGTCCCCTGTAGCTCCGCGCTCCCCGGCGCGCTCCCCGCCCCGGCCCCGCCCCCGCCGGCCGCCATGTGACGGGAAGCAGCTGATG